TCCCTCACAGCCCGCTTCACACACACCGGACTCCTTTCTTTATCTCCTCCCATGGCCTAGCCTCCTCCATGCGCCCCTGCTCACACACAACATCTCCTCTCCTGCACAGACCGTACTCACACACACCGCACTCCTTCCTTTCTCTCCTCCCGCAGCTTAGCCTCCTCCATACGCCCCCACTCACACACAACATCTCCTCTCCCTCACAGCCTGCACTCACACACACCGTACTCCTTCCTTTCTCTCGTCCCGTGACCCAGCCTCCTCTATACGCCCCCACTCATACACCACATCTCCTCTCCCTCACAGACCACACTCACACACACTGCACTCCTTCCTTTCTCTCCTCCCGCAACCTAGTCTCCTCCATACGCCCCCGCTCACACACCACATCTCCTCTCCCTCACAGACCACACTCACACACACTGCACTCCTTCCTTCCTCTCCTCCCATGGCCTAATATCCCCCATGCGCCCCCGCTCACACACGACCTCACCTCTCCCTCACATGCCTCTCTCCCACGCCACACTTCTTCTTCTTCCTCCTTCCGCGGTCTCATCCGCACACCTCAACTCACACTCATATCAACTCCTCCACTTATGGCAAGTTTTCAAATCCAGATCCACTAAAAAGAAATTTAAAATTACCGTACCTCCCATTTCCATCTTCCTTCCTCCCGCTGATCGCACCGTCACCGTCCTCTTTCTTCTTCTCTCTCCCTTCTCGTTCCTCTCCGCTTCGGCTCCTCTCTTTCTCTTTCTCGAACCTTCTTTTCCCTCCCTACTCTCTCTCTTCTCGGTTTTCTCTTTTCTATTTTTTTTTTCCTCTTTTTCTTTCCTTTTTTTTCTTTTCTTTCCCTTCTCCTATTTATACCTCACCTGCATCTCAAAACGACGTTGTTTCCCCCTTTTTTTTCCTTTTTTTTTCTCAATTACTACAGTTCACGTATAGTAGGAATTTCTATGGAACCTCAGCAACATCGGTAGGAAAATTAAAACGATAAAGGTGAATAAGATTCGAACCCAACTCTGAGGAATAATGAAATGTTAATTGTTACATGTTTTTTAGAGTACGCAATATAGATCGCTATTCTGATTCTTATTTTCATAAATGACATTTAGGAACTTATAGATGAGTTAAGAAAAATAAAGTTTTCAGTTAAATGAGTTTTATTTAAAAACGAACTGCATTAGTTGTTTTATGATTTCTACAAATCTTTGATTTTTCGTATCAGTAGTAAGATATTGATATTCTTACTGAGTTAATGTAATTCACTTCTTTATTATTAACAATTTCATGTCATGATGATCAAGACTCGGATCCTGAATAACAAGAAAACTAACTAGAAGGTTAACTCTTCGTCTCTCTATTTCGAACAGAAGTTGATCACATTAGTTTTCTTTATTACTATTTTTCATTTATGTTCTTAAAGGGTATTGCAACAAACTTATTGAGTGTTTTTAAGCAAACTGTGTAAGGAATGTAACGGTCGTCCCATTATTGGATAGGGTATTAGGACTGTAGCGTCCGGGAAATTGAAGAAGAAGAAAAAAAAAAAGGGGGGGGGGGCAATCAGCAGCCACGTCAGCAGACCCAGTCAACAGTCCCGGCCAACCGGGATCTGCCACGTGGCAAGACCACGTCGATCCGGGACGGGCCACGTTGGCGATCCGCGTATGCGCGATCGGACGGCCCAGATCGAATGTGCGATCGGACGGCCCAGATGCAATCGCACGGACGGCCCAAATTCAATCAAAAACGGACGGCCCAGATTAAATCAAAATGGACGGCTGAGATCAAAAGGCAAAAGGGTATAAATAAGACCCCCACACCAGACCACAAACCCTAGCCGCCTGCCCTCGCTGGAGAAGACGAACCAGAAGCCGGCCGCCGCCACCCGCCGCCACACCGGAGGGATTTCTGACCGCCGATCGAGGTAAATTTCATACCCCCGACTCATTTTTCCACGCTGATTTCCCCTGTGGCCAAATCGGAGCCAAAATCCCGGCCAAACGACCGAAAATACGGCCGAAGCCAGCGGCGCCGCCGCGCCCCTCCTCGGTTTTGCCACG